TATTGCACTTCGATATAGTCAGACTTCCTTCTACGCATGTATAGCTCATGATTGCCAGAATGTCGCTTCAGTTGTTACAAGCTCATCTGCAGAACATTTAAACAAGGTGGTCCAAACGCAGACGTCAGTCTCAACTCTATTTTTTGAAGGATTTAGAGGTTCTCCCGTCACAGATGTAAAAGTGCTTCCTCCAAACCGTATGTACATGCAACAAACAGTACATGATAGGATAGAAGTGGTTAAAATATGTTGGGTTTGCTTTCTGCTGTCACCACTGTAGCGTCCCTCCCTCCAGGGCAGAAGAAGCAGCAAGTGGAGATGGATGCATGTATTGCGAGAAGAAAAGTAATAAGATCTGAACATGGTTAGAAGGCCATTCCACGCGTACAAGGGCCAAAATGACCATCAAACTTCAGGTGGTCACATAAGTAAAGCATTACAGTAGTAATTTTTTACTTGACTGCCTGATGTCTGGCGATGGCTTCGGCACTCGTCTTGCACTTGTAGTCGTAGGCTGGTCTTCGGGCCAAGCTAAGGTCTAATCCCCACTTATTCTCCTGGAATACATGCATTCAGCCCAAATCGATGCCTTATTCTACCCAGTGAGAAGTCTTGGGAGCTACAACTACGCTGTTATATTGTACTTATTCGACCGTTTATCTTGCCTCTGTCGAGTGGGACGGCTTTAAGACCATGCCAAATTCCCGACTTAATTATTATGCCTTCTTCCACCTCGTGCGAAGCTCTCGGATGCTGCGGAGGTAATAGCGTAAAACGCAGTCTAAAATACCTTGTTCTAGTAACCACCTGTTTGTCTAGTGGTCGCTTTTGTTTTCGTGTTGCCAGTTTACACACGAAGTAGCCCTCAGGTCAAGTCAAAGTCAAGCCCATTCTTCTACTCATAGACCACATACAATCAGAGTAATTTAGTGCCTTCTTATATCCAAAGAGATGTCTCGGGATGCTACAAACTCGAGCGGTACAATTGAGGTGTCTATACCTCCAAAAGGATTAACAGTAGTTCCTTTAGGAGAGAGGAGCTGATAAGTAATAGTGACACTTGCAATTACCACATAATAGCCTCCCGAGACTTCATACTAAGTAGAAGGCATTAAATTGAGATAAATACATGTCCACTAAAGAGAGGAAAGAAATTAGGTCCGAAGATTAGTAAATACGTACAGGATCCAGACGACCACTAAAACCACCGTTAGACATCAGGTGGTCGCATAAACAAAATATTACATCCATTTCCATGCCTGCTTACAGAGCTGTTTAGACCCGATTATGCTGAATCTTTACACCCTTATCTGAGCACAAATTCCGCATTATCATGCTGTCAGTGCATTACTTTGCCTATGTAATAAACTGGTGGGAAGTCTTGAGATGCTACGGTTAGAACCCCTGTCTGCAGGGCACTATGTAAAATCTCCTTTTCAGCGACTCAAATGTTTCAGGCTGGCACACCAACGCCGGTCTTTAGGAAAAATGATAGTCAACATAATTTTTCCAGAACTGTCCCCCTACTATTTCTGTCAAATGCAGGTACTCAGTCAAGTTTTTTGCCAACTACTATAATGCTTTGCTTATGTGACCACCTGACCTTTGGAGGTCACTTTAAGATTTGACCGGTCCTTGTGTAGCGTCTCGAAACTTCCTAGTCGGTATAGGAAGTCAGTAAGTGCAGTTGGATGCATGTGTTCTGGAGACGACAGGACAAATGGGCCTTGGCATGGCCCGAAGGCCAGCCCACGTCTACAAGGACCAGACAAATCATAAAGCGACCGCCAAACGGCATGTGGTTACATAAACAAAGTATTACACCTCGTACCTGTGGTCTGGCCTTCGAGCCATGCTCAGGCCTAGTTGCTTTGTCCTCCTTGGAATGCATGTATCCAGCTTCATTTACTCCTTCTTCTGCCCGGTGGGAAGTATCCGGCCGTTACGGCTACAACCTAAAATGTCTCAGAATGCTCCATTTATCGATATTTATTTTTTAAACAAATTAAAGCAATCAATTTTATAATTTACCTGGAATCTCAAAAATACGAAAGGAAGCATGCTTCAGCGCTAGACACATGTAAATGGTAAACATTTGTTTAAAAACTTTCATAGGTTATTCCTCGTTATTATTACGACAACTACACATTCGTTACTTACTTCAATGGCTTACATCTTAATAAATTTTGACGTTTGTTTGTATCTTTTATACAAAGAAATCTGTTTTGTATTTAAGCGCATCAGGAGGTGCGTTTAGACTCCTGCTCCGCTGTATTTTAACCTAGGCGATCACCCCAGGTTCTGATATCTGTTTTCGTCTCATCATTGTTAACACGGCTTTTACTGTAGTTTGGGCTTGCTAACTAACTATTTTTGCCGCATTACCTTAAGCCAATAAGAAATGCAAAGCTTCGAACGCGTTTGGGGCTGTTCGTTTCGCTTCAGAAAGAAATAAGGACAGTCCTGCTAGTGCCGACGGCAGGGTGTTACACGTCTATGTTGACTACAGGTGTGAGTTGTATAGATCTTACCAAGCTCACGTCCGATCAGCACAAATTGAGGCATCCCCTACTCATGTTTACACACTTGATGTCACTGTCTCGAATGTGTTTAGAACCATTTCAAGTGTGATTTTTCTTGGTCGCGAGCCATCTAATACTCACCTCGCATTCAGTGACCTCGAACACCCGCTACGGGCAATCGGCTGTTCAGCAGCTCCCCCTCACCCTATGGTCATATTTTGACGCTTGTTTTAGCTAAAATTTTGAGATTTAAGCTTCCTATCCAGACTGCGCGATGTTCTTTAGTCACATGGCAACGTTGAGACCTATAGATGAGGGTGCTGGATGTAGCGATAAGACCACAGAACTGTCCCTGCATTTCTTAAGCTCTACCTCAGCAAGGACTAATAACAAAGGACCGGGTCCAATTACGGAGAAACAAATCTCGACTTAATCTCGTAAAAATGGTGCCAGCTTTTGTTGGATAGGAAGGCTTTTATTGCCTTGAGCTTATCGGGATCAGCCAACGACCCGCATGGAGAACACGAATGTACAGTTTTCTCTTGAAACGCGTACTTTTCAATGAGTTCCAAGACTATGTACGGACGAAAAAAGAACAACAGAGGCGCCTACTCACGGTTTTGAGTTATGCCAGCCATTAGGGACAACAATAGGGCTCCCGATGCCCCATAGGTTCAACTAGTCAACTGAAGATTTATTTTGTGATTAGTAATTTGGAATGCATTTCAAACTGCTACGCAGTCGGAGCTAACTATCGTAACAACGCGTGCTTATTCTTTACATTAGAGAAATGTGGTGTAACATTGGCGTTAAATCTCGTTGATTTACTGCAAAAGTTCATCAGCTTAAAGACTTAACCTGAGGTTTCACTTAAAATGGTCATCCGAGTTCGTAATGCCAAGGATCAGCATTGGTGCGAAATGAGCACTATTGACCAGATAAGCCCTATGCTCGTAAAAGCAGCGGAATAACTGTTGTAATTCAAACATAATAAGTAACTCCATAACACTACTACACGGAACCAATAGTAACAAAAAAGTTCAAACTTTGTAAAGGACTGAAAACCGAAAGTCACCGAAATGTATTCATTTCTTTTCAACAAATAGAAAGGAGATTATTGAGGAAGGACAGTGGGAACGTAATCAGTACCAGAAGCGGAATTTATGTATACGGTTAGAAATACAACTATAACGCGTTTTGAATCCGTCTAAAAGCAATAAACTTAGATACGAAAGGAAATAAGAAGACAACGGATACGTGACTCGCTCAATGATTGCGGCACAAAGACGGGTGGAAGATTTAATATGCTCAAGTCGACTGCGATCAGGAGGAAGTTATAAGGCGGTGCACGTGCTCGCAAGAGGAGGGGGAAATCGAGATAGAGAGGAATTCAAACCAAGTCTATTTTTGGGCGTCGATTGAAGGCGAATCAGTTGAGCTCAAGGTCTTCTTTTTGTCCTTCCCTTTTCGGGAGAATGATGGCATTTTGAAACGTCGCTTCTTACGACTGGTTTTGGATCCATCAACACTTGGCTACAGAACAGACATGTGATTGTTTAGCGCTTGCGATTAGTCTGTGTTAGCACCTCAGTAGCCCCAGTAAGTAAGCTCGGAGTTGGTTTTACCACATTGCATATGCAATGTAAAAAACTTCAACAAAAGCAACCTGCCTGCCCAATATCAGCACTGGTATCTGAACGGACACATTCGCGCTCGATATCTTCAGTTTGTTTTTGGGCTATAAGGGAGTAAACATAAAACATTAAGTCTCGATGAATGGCAGAGGTATAGAGATTGAGTCGGGAGCAAATAAAACACAACAAAAGGCGTGACTCAGCAAGAATCAAGACCAGGCGACCGGAAGCCATTCCTACCATTGATTGTACTACTACCTAGACTAGTGTTGAGTGGCACGACCACTGTTGGCCCTCTAATTGAGAGGACGCACGGAAACGTCTGAACTTCTGAATGACACGTGCAGCATATGAGTCGACCCTAGGGCAGCCAAAGACCTAGCTATATTTGATTAAAATGCACGAGCGTTTTGCGTAGTGGATTGAGAGTTTTGGGTATAAAATCCCATCAGTTAGAAGCCAGACAAACTATCATCTATTGACGGACCGTTAGGATTTTCAGGTATCGAAAAATGAGAAACCCAAGTTTGTAAATTGCAATCCCCTAAGTTCTAGTGTTGATTTAGTGTTTTATCCACTGTGCTTGAAATTCATTAAATGTACTCAAAAGCAGCAAAATTTTCTACCTTTACTCAATGGAATAAAATCCCGTTGGTTTCTTTCATTTCCTTCAATAAGTGGCAACGACAAAGAAACCAACTATGTCGGCCCCGGTTTGGCAAATACTCGAGCAAACGGAGTTGGAAATTCAAAGATTAAGAATGAATCAGAACACTGGATATGTAACTCACGAGAGGGTTGAGGTACACTGGCCTCGAGTGTGGCTCGTCTTCTGCGCTCCATCTCCTCTTCTTCCTCCTCAGTGGGCAAGCCCTTTGCCTTGCGTTCAACATTACGCTTGTAGCGTTCTAATTCGTCATCCGTTACCTGACCGAAGGGATTGGGTGAGAAGACCGACTGGAAGAGTCCAACGTTGTGACGCTGATCGCGATTTATTATACCTGTGGTCAAATACCTTTTCAATTCAACATGTATGGATTTGCAATCGACGAAATATTGGTACGGGCCACGAAGATAAGATCACTACCCTAGATTATTCTGTGAATATGAAGAGGATAAATTTCCCCCACAAAAGAATGTGCAGACCAGAGTCCTGGATAAAACAATGATAGGACTATAAAAGACGACTTGAGTTTACTGAAAAAGGTAAATTCTGCCGCACAATAAAAAAAATCGAGTAAAACTCGCTACACTGAAACTGGCTGTGCGATGATCGCACCGCGAATTCCTATGTACAGCATTGATAAAGCAAACTAACCCTTGCTGACAGCACCAACAACAACCACATGGCCAGGCTCTAGGGTGGGTGGATTGGTAGGATCCAGACGCAACAGAGTCCCGCGTGGACTTGTGATTTGGGAAGTAGGAACGACCCCGTCACGAGAATCTACGTGAACAGTTTCATCAACATCGTCGTCCAACCCCAGACCCTCTAGAATCTTCGACTTCGGACCGGCAGTACGTACATCCTTGTAGTACATTTCCCGCACCTAAAAGGTTGTATGCCAAATAAGAGTGAATCAACGAACGCACGGATTTTCTGCATTCTACCAGCCAGAAACCAGCACGCCTAGACGAGGACGGCTCGCGTACAGTACCCTTAATCACGGTCACGTTGCTTAAATAGAGGTCATGATAAAACACTATGTTCAAACAGGAGACCGATGCAAATCTGAGGGCTTCGAATATAATACATTTTAGCTTCTCTAACTGGCTGAATGAGTGCGAAAAAGATTCTCGAATTTGGTTGTGTCAAGTGCATCCTTTCTCCGAGCCATTGGTAGCAGTAGTTAAAAAATAGCTTATCACGAAAGGAAATGTAAATGGAGAACAAAAACTAAGATATGGTAAGAATGAAAGTAATGCTTAGTTAGATAACGAAAGAGCCGGAAATGGGTATAATAAGAGACCTTCTTGAGGTTTTCTTTCAATTCTCGTGGATCATCACCCTGAGGCGCGAACTGATTTGGATCTTCACTGGCGAGAAGAGTGCCTCCTGTGGTACGACTAGTGCCTTCCGTCCATTTGGTGATCTTTTTTGGATTTGAAGTTCCCACCTCTTCGATCTCCTCCTTCTGATAGGCGTTTGGAGTATTGCTGAAATGCATGCGCTGAAGGGAAAGGGTCTTAGCGCGATAGGCTGCTGCTTCCTTGATCCTGATCACAAAAAGTAAAGCTCACGTTCAATTATTTTATCGACCAAATGGGCAGTAACCAAGCCAAGTTACGAAATGACTACTTAAAATTAACCAGAAAGTTTGCAAAGGTAAGAAGAAGCAACTCTCGCTGAACAACAATGGTAGTGATGCAAGTGCTACTGACCAATAGAGGCAGCAACGTTTTGAACAGCAGCAGTTAGCATGGGATGTGGGGGCATTCGAAAATTGCCAGTATAAAACTATAGGTAGCATGTGTTTACCTACGTGCCATAATGCCAAACAATAGTAAAACAGAAGGGATGGATCAAAGACTACCTGGTGGCATCGTCTTTGTAATAGTTGACAGCAAATGAACTAGCAGCAGGAGGGACCTCGACATCGGCTCTAAAGCTACGACCCAATGTGGCGGCCCGTCGGGTATGTTGGGTTCGAGACGAACTTTCATCAACTATATTATCAGGTACCTCGGGGATGGAGCAGGTGCGCGTTCCCGCAGTAGGCTGCATCTGACCAACACGGTAGAGATGGCCAGTGCGGTAACCCGCCGCATCCAGCCTACGCATCATAGCCTCGAATTCCAGCTCTCCCGGACGCCAGTTTCTGTCTGTGGCAGCACCCGTTGCCCCAGTAGTAGCGTTCAGCACCTGATTGTCCAAAGACGGCGCACCATCGTTGCCCACAGGCATCACTAATTCATCCGTCCCCACACAGGCCAATCGAAGCTATAAATGGGACGATTTTGGGAGATTAATAGCTGCAAAGATAAGTAAATTTACCAAGTTAGGCACTGGAATGCCGCACGAAGACTGAATGGACATGGAAAGAAGGAAGGGAACAAAATGGTTAAACCAACCTGAGCTTCGCAAGCCGAAACAGAGAGATAGGCCGCCATCCAGGCCTCCTCTACAGACTTGCCCATGGCAAGAATACCGTATTTGCGAATTATGAGGATCCGAGGATCCCCACCTGCGGTGTTCTGCAAGCGCTCACCAATGACAGCGGTCTCTGCCAAGTTGCGCTCCTCGCCTTGCAGGTTTTGGTTGATACTGGCAGGATCATAACTTGCCGCAGCGCCCAGCATCATTGCCTCCTGGCTGATTGGTGGTAGATCAGTGCACATGCAAGATATCTGAGATAGCAAAGTATGTTCATTAACACTACTTTTGATAACAAAAACTACCAGTTAATCTATTAATTCATCAAATACTGCTGCTCTTCTATAACGACCAATGACATGCTGTATGAGTTGGTTGTTATGTCAATCAGAGCCAACCAGCAATCAAACTAACGACCACAAGCACAAACACATACCCAATTCTGCAATCGAATATATGCCGAAAAACAGAACTAATGATTTAGACGAAGCGGCCATCCCGAATGTGTGGTTGTGACAGGGTGTGTACACAGTACTAGCGGGGCTGTACACTAAGCACACAAACACACGCGTACGCACATTAATGTTTGCCAAGATAGCATTACCGAAAAATCCTAGAATGAGTAATTACTTTCGCATGGAAGTGGGGAGATGGAAGTGTCCATCTTAATGGCAAAAGATAGGTTTGGAATTCTGGATCAATGCTGCAAGACGCTACGGTGTCTGAAAATATTAAATACTTATCAAAAAGGTGTTAGGAAATGAAGGGCAGATTTTCCAATGATGCTTAAACAGAAAAGCCCACGACCTGCATGTGCATAGTGTGGAATTCATTTATATCAACGTTAAAAATCCAAATACCCGTTAAAAGCGATTAGCACCGAAAAATATCCATTATAGAGGGACACGAAGTTGCAACTACAAAATCATAATTAAACTAAATGAATCAAATGACAACAAAAACCGCAATCCCTACCAGCACCAGTAATATCCGCAAAGGAACACGACGTAAAGCGAGGCACATTCATGCCAAACCATAGTTGTCCTGTCCTAGTTTTATACTAGGAACCCAGGGGATGATGTGAATAGAGGATTTCCAAATAAGACTGCATACAAGGAAGCCGCTTACCGCAATTGTCGCTGGTGTATTCAACTGAATTACACACCGAATGGCTGGAAGGGCCTCATGGACGGCTGCGTGCAATGTCCATCCCTGCCTGTCAATACCCAGTCCATGCGAACCACCATCAATAACATTACCTAAGCAAACAAAAAAAGAAATTTAAGGAGAAATACACTGAATAGCCAAAAAATTTTCAGAGAACAAACGAGGGAACCACCCAAAGCGGCTTCCAATCACCTTTCAAGTCAACTTTCAACAGAGATGAGGCGGTAATTTCGTTGAACAGAAGCCCCTGTGGGTTAAAGAGATAGGTATCCCCGTCTTTAAACACCTTGGCCTACAGTCAATTAAAAAGTTTGCTTTAAGTAACATTTTTGGCAATAGCATCCTGCAGAATTGGGTCAGCGATTCTCAATAGAGCATGAGACAAGAAGACAAAAAATCGGCCACGTCAGAGGACGGAATGAACACCAATTACAAAAAAACATGCAATCAAGATCCTCAATAAACCAGGAATCTAGTCAATTCCTCACCGAAATGTGGCTTTTGGATCCAGAAGACCAGCCGAAAATATCAACAAGGCGATAAGTAGATGCAACTTTACAGCGAATAACTCGCTCCGATTTCGAGTAGGTACTGCTTTGAGAGTGCAGATCATTAATGGGAATAACGGGCACAGTCGCACCTATATTCAAACACAAACGAAATAGCGCCAAATCATACAAACCACGAAGTGATGTACAAGCAAAGTACTTTTAAAGCAATTATGACCGAGTAATTGGGTAGCCCCCAAAACACACCTTTTGCAAAGGCTGAGGACCCTAGTTTCGCATGTGGAGTGAGCAAATCCACCAATTTTTTGAGAGCCATAACGTTCGAGCTCAAAACTCCATCACGCATTTGAGATGCAACTATTTTTTCCAGCTCTTTTCGAAAGGCAGGAGAGTGTAGGATGAGAGAAACCCGACGCCTCTGTTCCATCAACTTCACATCTTCTTTGATGGATGCCGGCCGCAGCAAATCCCGTATGTAGTCGGGGTCATTAACATCTATAAAAGTATTTGAAGCCGAACAAGGACGAACCTAGACCATCGAGAAAATCGAGACCATGAGGCCCTAAGACATCAGTCATCTTCACCAGAGGCCACAACACGCCCTACGCTTATGAAAGGCACCTCGCGATGAACTTAAACACCATTTTGGATAGGTTTATACCCTCTTGAGGGAAAATCTCCACCAAAATTTAAAATAAATCTTAAGGTAATAAATTTTTTGATCTACATACTGTTACTGTTTAGTTACGATCAAATTATACAAATACATTTTTGCATTTATCCTACCTTTGTATTTTATCTGGACTTAGGGGCAGCTTACATGATAAAATAAACTATAAACTATAAATAAACTATAAACTCTTCATCCCTATGCTCTGAATACATTTCCTCATCTTTAAACTAGTATAGACTCATTAGGCAAGGTAAGAAGTTGGCAAGTGTAGCGTCCCGAGGCTACTTATAGGGTAGTAGAAGGCATAAGTGAGGTTGAATACATGTATTCCAAAGACGACAGGGCAAATTGGGTCTGAGCGTGGCTCGAAGACCAGCCCACGTGTACAGGGGCCAGACAAATTCCAAAGTGACCACCAAACATCAGGTAGTTACATAAACAAAGCATTACACTGC